ATATATACAGGGCCTATAATTAACACTTGCCAAGCGCCAAATGCGAGGAAAAATCAGCGTTGGCGAGTATGTGTAACAGTTGCAGTCGCCAGTTGGTGGGTAAAACTTTTACGAAATATAACAATGCAATGTAGTGAGAACAACAGCCAGTTTTTAAAGAGATTAGCTGTTTCCGACATAAGCGAATAAAATAATCTTTTCCGAAGACAAGATCATCGTTATCAGCTGTTCTGTCATAAGCGACGAGAGCGAATCGAATAATAGGATACAAAGGGACTGATAAGGTCAGAGCAGTGTGATGGTCAGCTTGTCCCTAGACACGGTTCTAATAACTTTTACCTGAGAAGATATTGCTGCTTAATTTCGGAAGATTAACTTTTCCCTTCTTTATTCTTCATAACCCGAGAATGTGGCGCCACATACCTGGAGTTACGCCGCCTAAACGGTGCAGTGAAGTAGGCTAGGTTCGGCTGTACACAGACGCTGAGCCTCTCTAGACAGTGCACCAGTAGCGCTTCAACGGACGAAAACACGCACACAATTATGTCTAAATACGCGGTTTTGGCGAGTTACCTCGTAAACGTAGTTTTAAATGAGTTATAAAGTCTTAAATGTCTGTAAAGAGAAAATAGGATATGTGTCAGATCCGCATCATGTGCATCAGGTTTTAAAGAGATAGCACTGCTTTTAAAGTAAAACCTGGTGAAGTCTGTCAGTGATGTAGCTAAATCAAAAAACAAAAGAAAAAGAGAAATCACGCGACTGTTCTAGTCGCTGATTAACTTTTGTAGCTTGAATAAAGATTAATCTGTATAGTTTATGTGAAGATTGTTTTAAGATCACTTAATATTTCAGAGCCTATTAAATGTTAAAAGTAATGGATTTCTATTATACTGTAATGTTGAATGGCTATAATTAATAGGTAAAATTGAGAGAAAATGCATTTAATAGCGACACCAGTAGCAGTATTGGTATCAATACTTCATGTAACTAATAGGTTACTTAGTAAAAAGATACCATTAAAAACATTTAAAAAATACTATCTTTATGTTGTTTCTACATTAATTTGGAGGTTCAATGTGAAATTATGACAATATAAATATGCGATTAATCATGATTAATTACAGAAAAATGTGTGATTAATTATTTTTTTAATTGATTGACAGAAAACACTAATGTTAACCTTTTATAGATTTTAGATTTCAATTTAAGTTCTAATTTTATAGGGCCCCCAGAAAGAGATCCAGACGGCCCCCACCCCCTTGGCCCCCTTCAAATTTTCTATTCGATAATCCGGCCCTCAAATGAAGCTAATTGAATAGCCCTGCTCTAATCTGTTAACATTGGTGCGGGGAAAAATACGCACCACATATGCACTGCAAACGGAGTATGCATCTAAACGTTTTTTAGGGACAAAAAAAATCTATAAATCTGTTTGTTGTTTTTTTTTTTTCTTGTAAGTAAAGTAAAGGACAAATTAAAAACATTGTAAATATGTTTAGTCATTGTAGTAGTAATAACTGCCTGTTTTTGCAAAAAATGTTTCATGGCCGGT